TCTGTTGACATGCAAAAAAGCCACCTCAGGGTCCTGCTGTGCCCCACAGGGGCAGGTCCTGGTCTGGAGAGCACCGAACTGACCGGGAAAGCAGTGATCAGTTTTGATGTGCTGTTCTCAAAACGGCAGCAGCTCCTGGGCTGTCACTAGATAAGGCCAATTTTACATGGGTGAGGGGTGAGCTCTAAATGTTGGGCCTGGAGACACAAACATTTGTGTTTTAATCCCTAGTCAAGCTGTTCTGCTGCTAATCTCCACCATAGATGCTCCATGTATGAGTGGCTCAAAGTAAGCTGGCGCTTCTGGAGCAGAGTGAAAAACCTATGCAAACGAGATCATGGCAAAGCTACCGAGGCCTGGAAATTCAGGTTCCAAGGTCTGCTATCCCATCCTGCCCTCATTCTTTTACATCTGGCTATTCTGCAGCAATTTAGGCAATAAGACTCTTTGAAATGGGAACAGTCAGGCATATAAATATATGAATATGCAAATCAGATTTGTATTATCAGAGGTTCATATCAGTACAGGCGTGCATGGAGATGTGCTGCTTTCTTTGTCCTTTTTCTTCCCACCAAAACCCTTTGTAGCTCCTTTGTCTCCTTGCAGTGGGACCTGGATTTTACCACAAGAGATTTTTGGCCATTTTTTGACCTTGGGAAGGTACTAAGTGCGTTTACCCAGAACCACGCTGAGAGCACCTTGGCCTGGGCTTTAGGGAATGCCTGAAAATGTGCATGGCTTTCCCAAGCAGCTGCCAGCAGCACCACCACCCCCTCGAGCAACTCTTGTGTCATGGGCAGCCAGCCCGGGCCTGCTCTGGTTACTTTCGCATCCTCTCCCCGGGATCAGCTGAGCCACGCCAGGAAGGGAGAGATGTGAAATAAAAAGTGGAACAAAGGACCCTTTTCCTGCCACTGCTGGAGCCGATGGCCGGTGTCCTGCTGACTTCAGCAGCACCAGCGTTGATAAGAATAGGCCTGGTCTAAAGCTCTTTGCAGCTTGCATGGGCTTCTCTTGAGTTACAACGTGTGTGCACATGCACGGTGAGGGGAAATGTGCAGTTTTTGGCAATTGGAAGTTTAATCAAAAGGCCACTTTTCCCATCTGTTATTTTTGGGCCGAGCCTCCCGAGGGTCAGCTTGATAACATTTCACGCTGCTTCTAATCAATTTTATACCAGGAAGCAGTGTGAGAGCTGACTACCAGAGAGCTGGAGTGGCATGGAGCTCAGCACTGGGAACATAGCTGGAAAAATATGTTGGGGATTTTGGGGCATAAACAAATGTTTCCTAATCTGGACTGCAACTCTGTCAGGCATGTACCGACAAGCAGATGTCGATTGGAGCTGAAAACCAGCAGGTTCTACTACAGTGTAACCTGTAAATCCACATCTTGACAGGCATGTTGTGGTACGCTGAGCTGTAGTCCTGAGAAATAAGGTAACACAGGAATCAGATCATGGAATCAAATAGAGGGATTATCACTGCCTTTTTTGGCTTTGTGTAGACAAAGCAGGCAGGTAGTAGTTTGTACTCATTATATTCTATATGGCTGCTTAGATCGCACTTGATATTTTGGAGTTTGCAGCCTTGGAGGTTTAAATGATTTTGAAGTCACGGGCATTTTTTGTTGTCTGTTTCTCCTCCATGTCCATTCCATCCTGTGATTGTCTCTTCCAGGACTGGACAAACACAGATGGGCACACACAACTCCTGGGGGCTCTGTTCCTGGCTCCACACACCTTGCAGGCAGCCACAAGGGAACCACACAGAAGAGGAAGAAGAACCAAGAGTACTGGGGTCAGAGCTGGAGCAAGGCTCCTCAGCAGAGCTGGCAAGACTGAATTTTGCTGCCTCAGCTGTGAGAGCTTGGGATGAGGCTGGGTGACCTTGGAACTGTCGGAGTTGAGAAGGTGGGGAGAGGCTGAGCTGACAGAAGGGAGCTCTTGGGCTGCAGCAGTGACCCTGGTTTCGGGGGACTCAACAGACCCTGCTGGTTGTTGTTGTAGTCAGCTGCTGCTCCTGTCCCTTGGAATACAGGAACCTTTATTTATTTGGAAGAGCCTCAAAATACCAGGCAGAATCTGCAGCAGGACAGTTGAGCCTGGTGCTGGTGCTCTGCTGTGTGCTTTTGGCCATGCAAAACTTCCATTTTCAGGGCAGAAAACGCCAACAGCCCAGCTCTGTGGGCTGCACTGACCTCTGCTTTTCCAGTAGATCATCCCTACGTGGTTCTCAGGAGCACCTGAGACCTGTGAGGCAAAGAACCCCAATTAAAATAACCCCACATCGTTTGCATTGCGTGCAGCTGTGGCTGTTCCTGTGCCCAGGGCTGGTGCTTGTGACCAACAGTTGTTACTCTCTGTGCCCAGGTTTCACTCAGCACAGGCAGAGCCCTCAGGGTGGGACCGGCAGTGTGGGATCTGCTGAGTGCCTGACTTGATCCCAAATCGCCTTTGGGTTAAGGAATGAGCTTCTTGAGGAGGTAATAGTGGGCAGTGTGGGATGGAGTGTGCCCTGTTTTATCTATTTCAAAAATAAACAGTCTAATCTCCTAGGGAATAGGTGAAATATAAATTTTTATTTCAGCACGCAAACGCTGCTCACACCAGTGTATCTGAGGAGCGTTATCATTGTAGCTCACCCTGGAGGGCGGCTCTTTAGTGATGCAAATAGAGTTCTGATGGTTTGGGCTTTTCTCAGTGTAAGGACTAAAGCTGGGAGCAAGCAGCATCTCCCAGCATTTCAGCTGCTTCGGTGCCAAGGATTAGACCAAAGTTAACCTTCATCAGCAGTTTAATCTAATGGTGTGGTTGTGCAGCTGATTTACATCAGGGCTGCACTGGTTGCTCTTCCCCACCCTGCAGCTGTGCGCTCTGTGCTGCTGCTGCTGCTCCTCTCCCTTCGCTCCTTCCGTGCACTTCGCTAAACCAGCAAAAACCCTCTGGCAAAAGGGAGCAAACATTTCTGTGTGCCTTGGAGAGCGGGATGAGGAGGTCAGCAAGGTGCAGTGACTCTGTGAGCTGGGTGAGCCACGCTGGGCAGAGTGTTCGTGCACACAGGTGGGGTGGTGCCAGTCCCGTGCATGGGGAATCTCAGCTTTCCATGGAGAGATTCCCATAGGATTCCCTGTCACAGGCCCCACAGGATTCCCTGTCACAGCCCCCGGGGACTTGCCCAAATTGCAAAGACAGCCGGTGGCAGACCCAAGATCCCAAACTAACAGCAGAGGAACAAAACCTCGCTTCTTTTGCAGTTTAAATCAGAGTTTTATTTTGATTAATAGAAGGGAACTCTATTAATCTGAAAGGGAACTCGATGCACTTTGGAATAATGGTATTTGGAAAGCAACATGGACTAAGATTTTCTCTTCGAAGGACCTTTTGTTCGGGGTAAGGTGCAACAGAAAAGCACAAAACGGAGCCTTTTAGGCGGTGGGAAAGGATGCAATTCTCCTGAACTTCCACTGGGCTCCTCTGCTGTTACAGTCAACAGAAGCACCAATTAAACGCTTCCTGCTCTGAACCGAGCTGGTTTCCAGTCGAGATTCCAGCCTGTGGACTCGGTATTGTTTCTGTCCAGAGGTCTGTATTACCAAAACTGACAGGTGTCACAGGGGTTATTCTGTTCTTAGCACTATTTTGAATTAAAAAAAAAAAAAAAACTGAAATATTAAAAATATCTGAGAAGAAAAGGTGTTTGTAAGATACTGGAAATCCTATTACGTGGCACCGTTCTGTTTTGCAGGCTGTCCAGATGATAGGTTATGGATGATATTGAAGCTCAGAATCATACAATGACTATTGTGTTAGACTTACACAATGAATACAGCGCCCCACAGTTGAACCAGGTTTCTTTTCCTATTAATGTTTATTTTGTGTCGCAGGGAAACGAGACCTCGGTTTCATATAATTCTCTCTATATAAACATTTCTCTACTTTTTCAAGTGCTCATGAAAAATGTGACAAGATGTCCACCGAGGTCACAAATGTAAGCATAAATAGCTGCAATTTAACATCAGTAGTTAGCAAACAAGATACCCTCGAGGTAAAGAGGCTGATAAAAAGAGGGCAGCGATGCATTAAAGATGCATTATTTGGGGGTCTATGGATATAATTTAGGCTTCACAACAAGGTCAGACTGATTTAATTCTCTCTGCAAAGGTCAGTCCAAGGCCTGGCTGTACTAACCCCCGTGCTCTCCATCTGTCTGCACTCCAAGCCAGACACTTTGAATAGGTGATTGTATGCTCATGACTGGATGGGAACACATTGAAATTACCTCCAGGTCCGGCCCTCCTCGGAGCCGGCGCTGACCCTGCAGGAGCTGGCACCTCTGGAACTTTGCACTCGGCTGCAGCTTTGAAGTGTGCAGGGGAACATCTGATATTGGTGTTTTCCTAATGCTCTAAGTGCCCACGAGAGCTCGCCCCCATAAATGCCTCACTGCAGTGCCATAAATGCTTTATGCAGGTTTATTCTGTGACCCTTGAAACGTGAGCTCTCTCCTCAGCACTGGCAAAAGTGTGATAATACAGAGTGAAAAACCCCAAACCTCTCCACTGCTCACTTTCTCCAAAATGAGGAAAAATGAAGAAACTGGTGTTTGTGGACATCTTTATTTAATAGTCCAGGTTTTTAAAAAATCTTCCTCCATAAGCAAGGGATTCTTTAAAAATAATTGACAGGACAAAATAAATATGCCATGTCCTGGTATCTGTTAGTCATTTTCTTGCTGCTTTTTTCACTTGATGCTAAACGTTTCTGAATTCTCTTTTCATTTTAAGTAGGAAACAGGTTTATTAATCTGAATGCAGCAACTAGAGAAAATGAGGCCAGTGAATGATTTGAGTTTTCAATAGATATTTAGCTCACTGAAACAGTTACACACAGCAAACAGCACTCACTTTCATGAAAGAAAAAAAAAAGAAGACATATAAGATTAGTGGAGGGTACACTTAATTTTTAAAAATGTAAGACATCTTATTTTTACATGTAGGGATATGAGAATATGAACAGATACTGGTTTTATTGTATGCCAAAGCATGAAGGTAAAATGATATAAAATAGCACAAAATAATTGATGTACTATGGTAACAACCAAACTAAACAAAAAAACCCTCCACACAGCGCTCTTTCTCAGGTACTGTAAGTATTCCTTGGGTACAATACAATGTACATCTGGTTTCAGTGCTTATTTTACATTTGTCAAGTAGTGCATTTCAAAAGGAAAAAAAAAAAATGGGTGCATCTGGTTGGGAAGCACCAAAATTAAAATCAAGAATCCAGACCTTAGGATTCAACTCTCCACAAAGTAGCTCATCCTGTGTTGCTCAAGCCTGCCTACAGTAAAATCACCTAAAAAGAGAACTGCAAGAACAATAATACAGATCATAACAGAGTGAATTAAAGGCAGATTTTCAGATTTCTGCCCGTCTTCCTTAGGTTAAATAATGTCCCTGGTAAACAAATTCTGATCTAAAATGATAAAGACTTTTTGTTCCAGGTATCTTACGAAACCACCTCTTGCTCTTGTGCACGATGTGTGCTGATGAATCAGAGATAGCATTTGGCTCTTGAGGCTGTTCCAGTGGCCCTGCTTTTCTAAGTTTGAAGAGGGCAGGGAGAGAATCTGTGCAGAGATCACACACACACAAAACCAAAATAAAACAAAACAAGAACAAAAAAGTGGTAAATTATAGAATAATTTTTTGGTTTTTTTTTTTAAGAACATGTGGTGCCTGACCCCATGGCCCCACGCACACACACCCATTTCTGGTGGCCAGCTCACCTTTTCATTAGGTCCAAGGGTTGCAGGAACACCTTTTCTGCTGGAAGGTGTGCAGGTGTGCTTGGATTAGCCACGGGGAATGACTGGAGAGTGGGTGGCAGAGGAAGTGACCCTCCTGTGACATAAACTCAGCCCCTGTGGGAGCTGTCTCCTGCTCTCTGAGGGAGCTGGGCTGTCAGCCTGGGCTCTCTTCACTGAGTGGGTATTTTTATAGTAGCAACTCTTTGTGGTATTGTATTAGGAGTACTGAGGTATTCATTACAGCAACTGTTTGCTTTGAAATGCTTTGTGGGTGAGCTTTTATTGCTCAGGAATGGCGCCAGATGGACAGTCCTGAGGAGCAAAGTCCTCACGCTATCTGCAGATCATGGCACAAGCAGTGCCACACTCACTCCTTCCTCCTCTGCCTTCCTCCAGCAGCAGCACAAGAGCACTCCACAGAAACCAGCACCAGGGTCACCTGTTGAGGGGGCAAATTTGAGACACATTGGTGTAACTCCATGAGGCCTTTCCCAGAGGATGCCGGAGATTTGGCTGTTCACAGCCTCTTAAAGCATTCTTTCTGAGACAATTTTTGAAGCCACGCTGAACAGGCTTTACAATGTTTCTATCTCCAGCACCTGGAGCTGTGATTTACCTTTCTGAATTGGTTTTATCCCCTCAGTCAGGGAAGGGGCACAATTTCCAACAGGGATTGAACTGGTAATGTCCATCCTTGTGTCAATAATGGAAGCCATTCACACAGAATAAAATAACCTGTTGTGCCTGGAAGTCCCTGTCCTTTGTTTGCATCTCGTTTGGAGCACTGCTTATCACTTTCTACCCTAAAATCTGTCTGGCTTCTTGCTTTCCTGAAACACTGAGCCCAGGGTGGGCTGAAAAAGCTGCCAGCCATGTCAGCTCTCTGGAGATGTGCTCATCTACCTGGCTGAGTCTGTTTTCCAAAAGCCTTTGCAGGATCTGGATCTCAGGCTAGGATGGCTTAGACTTGCAGTGGAAACCCTGGCAAACCTGAAACATGACAGTATTGACAACTCCCACCCCAGGGAGGTGTTCTGCTGTGGCAGGGGAAGGAGACTCAAAGCACAGCTCTGCTTCTTGTGCTTTGCTGATGTTCTGCACACTCAAAAAGAGAGCAAAAAGCAAATCTGGGTGTCTCACAAAAACATATTATTTTCTTCCTTGTAGCAGTGAGTGCTGATCTGACCTCACACTGCACTCTCAGGGGCTGCAGGGGTTTAAGGGTTTGGGCTCCCCTGGTCTCCAAGCACACATTTTGCTCTCTGAAACAGAAAAATCCCGTGCCACAAAAACGGGAGCTGCTCTTTGATTGCGCCTTGTCGCGTTTTTCCACATGTGAGACACGACATGCTCTGTCAGGCCACCGTATTCAAAATTCCCCTAATATATTTCATTTTTATTAGCAGCAGAGGACAGGTGACTGGAATCCTAATCCTGGGGGTGATGTGTGTGTGAGGTGTAGCACACCTGGGCGTGTGCTGTGGTGCAGCTATTGCAGCCAGCTCTCATGCTTTGCATGTCAATCTCGAGGCTTTTGCTGTGCCCAGCTCTTCTTGGGGCATTTGGTGGAAATTAAACTGTGAGGGCTGCAGGCCACTTTACACCATTACATTTCCCTTCCCTTCCCTGTTGTTAAGTTTTGGATTCCTCTTCTCCCTTACTGCGTATTTCTGCTCCTGCCAAGTTCCAAAGGAGCAGAAAAGCTGCTCCTTGTATTATTATTATTAAGTGATGCTTTCAACAAGTCAGGCTTTCAGAGAGGAGAAAGCATCAGGCAGGCAGGTGAAGACAATTTCTGCATTGCCGAGTTACTGTCTTACATGTGCTCCTCCTTTGGGATAGAACTTAACAATTTGCAGCTCTCTTGTCCTCATGCTCCTTGGGAAACTCACTCCAAGCCAAGATCTTCCAGCCTGCCTCCCTTTGGTTGGAGTGGCTCAGACCTCAGACTGGCCCTGTATCAGGGCAGAGGCACCAAACTTTTAATCCCTACATTTAAAATTTAAATACATTTAAATACATTTAATACATTTAAAAATGCCTTCTTAACTAACAGGGGGAAAAAAATACCTTGGGACATGTGCAGGGAGTGAGAAGAAGCAGCGTGTAACAGTGTGGACAAAGTCCTGACCTGAAGCACAATGAACTGCACCAACGCCTTCGGTGCAGCTACAAGTTTATAGTGTTCTGGAGTGTTGTTTATGTTACTATAAAAAAAGGTGAGAAAATATATTCAGTTACTTTCTGTTTCTCCCCATTGAGCAGATGGCAATTCATAGCTCAAACTGTTTTTTAAGCCATTTCACATTTTACTAATAAGTACAATATGCTTTTCAACAACAAGCCGTGCTCAGGCGCTTCTGCAGAGGTTATGTGGGTGCTCAGGTAGCTCAGAAATCAGAGACTTTAGGAATCCTGTTGCATTGTAGGGGCAAAAATTTTCCAGTCATGTCTCACGTGGTGGAAAACACAAACTGAAACCTCTCCTACTTCTTGTTTTAAATTATTTCTAATTTTGCAGGCCACAAATAATAAAAATAGCCCGCTCACCTGAACTGCCTCGGTCTGAGATTGTTAGTACCAACTATGTTCTTGGTGGAACAAACCAGACTTTTTAAGGAGCTGAATAGTCTTTGCATTTTAGGTGTATAATAATAGGTGGAGATGGCCATTGGGAAAGGTGAGAAAACACTGAGCAGTTCTGTTCCAGGAAGTTTTGGTGCTTTAGAATGAAAGCTGTTAATATTGCACACACTGGAAAATTCTCACCATTACATTCGTGGTTTTCTCAAAGCCTGTTAAATTATATGCATGCAGGAATAAGGAAGAGTGGGTTTTATTATTAATTGACACTCATTTTTAGCTGGCATGTGGCGGCAGGTCCTCCAAAGAAACCCGAGGCACAGATTAGAGCTGAAAGTTTTGGAAATGTTCTAAATCTTTGTAGTATTGCAGAGAGGAAGTGTAATATTAAACTGACAAATTGAATATATCTATTTTTTTTCAATGTAATTCACAGTTTCTTCCTATTATTTTTTACTACCCGTGGAGATAAAGCAAAACAAATTCCTCAAAACAGAGAGGAATACATTTCCAGATACCTTTTCCTATTAAGTAATGTATCTCCCTCATACATATGTACTGTCAAATATCCATCCATTCCTTTTCCACACCGCGTCTCCAGCCAGAAGTGTTGGCTATGCAAATATTGCAGAACCGACTCTTAACATATGTGCTGTGCGCCTGGCTACAGCTACACGGGAAACTCTAGGTAATAATTAGAGTCTGCATACATTATCCCGCAATTATAATTTTACATAATCGGTTATGTAATCTCGGGGCTGGTATGCGGTGAGAAACTGGGGTTACGTCAGAATTCTTGGGAAGAAAAATAAAATTATTGATCGTAAGTGCGAGGAAGAGGAGCAGGGGGAGGAGGGATGGAGCAGCTCGGAGCATCCCGGCGGTGTGAGAGCCTCGCTGGCTCTGCTGGGAGGGACTCGGGAGCGAGCAGGGCACCCCGGCGGCTCCGGGGGCACCGGGAAAGGGGCGAGAGAATGGAGCAGGAGTGGGAAGGTGACAAAGTGGCGGGCGCTGGTTTATCGCGGGAGCCCGTGCTCGTTCCCGGCTCCTGAGGCGCTCCCGGAGAGCAGCGGGATGCGGGGCTGGAGCCGAGCCTTCCTTCCCATCCGCTAGCCCGGTCCGAGCCGCTGCCGCCGCCCGAAGGGGCCGGGGGAGAGCGGGCAAAGCCCCCGGAAAGAAATAAAATACCCCGGGCACGCAGGGAAAACAACGGAGTGATAATAAATAAACCACCGAGTGAATCGGATGAAATTGCCAGGCGTTCGCTCCCGATAAACAGCAAGCTTTGTAATATCCAGGTGTTGGGGAAAGCTGTTGTCTTATAGTTTATAAATCCCTGCTGGTGGGAGGGAGGGTGAGAATCTTTGGAGGTGAATGAAATATCAAATCACGAGGCTGTATGTAGATTTATGATTGCATAAGAGGCTCGATCATTTCCATATATTGAAATGTGCTGTCCTTTCCACGACTGCCCAGCCCTTGGAGGGAGAGAGAGACGCTCGATTCCGCCTTGATCAATGCTGACTGTGAAGCAAGGAGGAGGAGAAGGGGGGGACCAGGCTGGCACCAGATGGAGCAGGGTCTAGGGAAAGGTCAAGGTTAGCTCAGGCTGCTATTGAATCGGTTGCAGCCTCACAGATAGATCTCTGCCTCCGAGGCACCCACTGGGGCTTCTCAGAATCAAATCTAATAGAAAAGGCAGTCACAGAATGAAATCGCTTCATCTGAATGCTAAAATTGTTATTAGGCTACATTAGAGAGATACCGGGCACATGATTACCAAAAAAGGAAGCATGCCTAGCAGTTTGCGACTGAAATAAAAGCTGTGAATATGTTGATACCATCGTGGATGTGCAAAGATAATAGATAACAGGAGAGCAGGGCAGGGAGAGACGCGTGTGTGTAACGAACAGATTAACATATTGATGCGGATGGATGTGTCCCTATGAAATTGCCGTGCGCGCTGCTGGGCTGGGTCTGTCCGTGCGCGGGCAGGAACGCGCGCATTCCCCCCTGTCCTGCCCTGGCCATGCTCCTCACACTCCCAGGACATTTGTTCATTGCTTGGGACAGCAGCTACGAGAAGTGGAAGAGCTTTGGTGGCAGCTCCTCACAGGACCCACCCTCAGCTGGTGCTGCGGTGTTGCCGTCACTCTGATTTTTGATTTTAAGTTCTCCTGCAGGCACAGGGCTCAAACATTGTTTGAGGCCGCTCATTTTGTGGCTCATCTCAGGCAAAACTCCCAGGTAATGCCAATAGGTCCACACACATGTGCAGCTCCCCCATCCCGGACACGGGAGCACGACATGAGCACACACATTCGTGTTTGGAGCAGCGGTGCTGGCAGCTGGCTTCCAGAGATCAAAGTGGGGCTGTTCCCACTTACCAGCTCCGCCACGTTACCAATTCCTTAACCTACAGCACAGCCATGTCCTAAAGAAGGATTTGGTCTTGTAAAATAAATGCTGGCTACACTAGATTAAACATGATGGCTGCACTCTAAGGGTTAATAAATTTAGAATTAACAGATCATCCCAGCTTGATACAGCTACTATAGATGATTTAATATGCAGCCTAAGCAGGTTGACAGTCAGCTCACAGATGCAGATAAGATCAAACAGTCTCTTGATTCAATAGATTGAATGGTTGTACTGAGTGTCTGGAAGGTGAGTGACAGTACGTATATGGCAGGGGTTCTGGTAAAGAAGGGCTTCGATTCCCCACTGCTGTGCACTGCACTGGTTTTCCTTTTCTAGCAGTCAACCTTTTTCAGCAATCAAACCCGGAGTTAACATGAAAAAAAAATGTCTCAAATATAGTTCAGGAGAGTTATTTGAAGTTTTCAGTAATGAAAAGCTCCACGCTTTCATGGTAATCACCATTACTATCGCCAGTCTGCACTTCAGATTCCTTTTTCACGGACAAGGCCATCGCCACCCACTCCATCCCACGGGGAGTCTCGGCTGTCCACAGGCTCTGTCTGTCTGTCCACATCAGTCCCCTTCCCTGGCAGACCTGAATCCACAGGAAGGAGCTATTTTGGAGGCCAAACAAGGACACCTTGCCCCAGACAGCCGCTGGGACTTAGTGAGTGCAGCCTTATCCTCATTCGCCGACCAGAGGCTTTGGCTGCAGGAAACCTCGGTGGATGCAGAGTGACAAAGACAATTCCCCCGGAATGGAGCTTCTTTCTCAGCTCTTTTGCTTTTCTGGCTTAAAAGTTAATGTCTGTAGTAACTCTTCTGTGGTTTATGTTTTCCTTTTTTGCTCTCCTGTCCTATTTAAACGGGAATGTAAAACAGTCCTCACGGAGGCTGGTGAGCAATGGGATGACAGAGTGGTCTCTAACAATTTTATTATTTGATCAAGAGTAAAAGCTCCACCTGAACCATTAGATTTTACAATATGAATATGTTTCCAGGCAATTTTAAAAACGCATATTATGCATTCAATAGACAGTCACAGGTCTGAATTGTGTCTCATTGTATTATATGGGGCCACCACCATACTGATAGGGATATTTGTGCTAGAGTTACTGCACATCTGAATGCTTATAAATTAGCTGTATGGTTTACTTTGGTGGGGTTTTAAAAATACTCCCATGGTTTTGATGAATGCCCTGCAGAAGGCTGGTGTGGTGAGCAGTGCTGCTTTGAATCTGCCAGCAGAGCAAACCCAGAACCCACCTGAGATCTGTTTCTTTGTGATTTTTAAAAACGGGCTCATGTACTTTTGCAAAGTGAATTATAGTTTCATTTTAGTTTAGAAACCAGTGGCTCCCTTCCCATCCCTGAGTTGGAAAAGAGAGGGCCTGGACGTGTGCTTTGGATGCGGACCCACATGGGAGCATCCACAGATTTTCCTGAACAGGTTTTCCATTCAGGGCCGTGGGGCTGGGGATGCCGTGTGGGGCTGGGGATGCCGTGGGGTTTGGGATGCCGTGGGGTTTGGGATGCCGTGGGGCTGGAGATGCCGTGGGGTTTGGGATGCCGTGGGGTTTGGGATGCCGTGGGATTTAGGATGCCGTGGGGTTTGGGATGCCGTGGGGTTTGGGATGCCATGGGGTTGGGGATGCCATGGGGTTTGGGATGCCGTGGGGTTTGGGATGCCGTGGGGCTGGGGATGCCGTGGGGCCGGGGATGCCGTGGGGTTTATGATGCCGTGGGATTTAGGATGCCGTGGGGTTGG